ACACACACACACACACAGACGGACGGATAGACAGACACACACACACGCGCGCGCGCACACACAGACGGACGGATAGACAGACACACACACGCGCGCGTGTAGAGCGAAAATCACGCCCTGAGGTCATCGAGTGACAAGCCCCCACTCCCTCATCCGCAGTCCATGCAGCGCAAGCAAACGACATCGCCATCAACCAAGATAAATAGAGAGCATGCACGTACGTGCAAGGTGTGGTTGCCGCGAAGCCGGGGAACAAGCACGTGGCGCAGCACGGATGTGGTGACCACCTCTCGCTCTGTCTCGGAGAGCTGGCGGCGGAGAAAGTTCTTGAAGATGACATTGACAGATGCGTCTGGCTCATGGTATGTCACGTTGACACGCTTGCCCCTCTGCACGTCATGTGGGTTGGCCATGACCGTCCCAAGCACTGCACTGCCGCCTGAGGGAACGGGTTTCCATCAGTGAGTAATGACCGCAGCAGCGCAAGCTCAAGACGTAAGTACGCGCACAACCACACACGCACCCAACACACACACCCACAAAGCACACAGCACACAGCATACAACACACACACGCGCGTGCGCGCCTCAGGTATCCACAGAGCAGCACATTCACTCTCCCCCCGGCGCCACACGCACGCACACACACATGCACACACATGCACACACACACATGCACACACGCACATGAAAACACAAAAGGCTTGACGGACCATCCTCGGCAATGACGGAGCCGTCAGCTTGCCAGGCCATGACATCTTGCCGAAACGAGACTTGTCGCTTCCCACACGTCACAGTGGCTGCCCTGGTCTTGCTCGAGGTAGCTGCGTCGATCGCACTGGACGCTGTTCCAATGCTGCAGGTGCCATTGAACCTCTGGCTGAGCCTCTGACTGGACGACCCAAAGCGCGCCACGCTGTATGGCGATGCCCTGCTGCTGCTGCTTCGGCAGTATCGCTGGTGCGCAATTCGGAACAAGCACTGAGCAGGCTGGCGGCGAATCGCGGCCACTACCAGTGTTGATCCCGACATTCTAGCGTTTCTAAAACCACGAAACCGTTCTTGTTTCGACTCCACGGGATCAGAGACACAAGGGCTGGCGGCGTACCTGCTTCTCACAGGCGACACGAGCGCGATGACAATTGTATGAGATGGCAGATCGGAGGAACAGTGGCACACATGATCCATCTACGCTGTGATCACTTATTGTTCTCCAATCCAACTGCTCCCTCTCCAATATAACCGCGCCCTCTCCACCCGCTTCCGCCACACACACACACACACACTCACTCACTCACACACACACACGCACTCACTCACCCACAGAAAAGCGCAACCAGGCATCGAAGCAGAGATCAAGCCGCTGTCAAAGCTGGAAAACAAGAGCACCAGGTGACCTTGTAGCTGTTGAGCTGTCACGTGCAAGAAGATGTCGTCGATCTTGATGATTGGCTGCACACGGTGGTTTGCTGGTGTTGCCACTGCAGCTACTGCAAGGCTTACCCAAAGGCCTGTGTTGACTACCGGTGCTGACCGCTTGCTTCGCACTCTCGCCGTGACGCGATCTCCCCAAGACAACGACGACGTTGACGTGAAAGCCGAGTTTACACACCGCCACAGCACACAAGCATTTGCAGTTCCGGTTGCAGCAGCGTGCTGGAAATCAAAGCTGCTGCATTCTCGAGTCTGTCACGTTTTGCAGTTCCAAAATCCGACACCAAAAATAGTAGTAACGGTTACCCTGCAAGCGACAGCCGACGAACCACCAAAACCAAAAATCCTCAAACACCAGCCAGCAGCCGACCCACGACTTTGCTGACAGCACCACGACAACAACAACCAACCACAACAACAACGAGAACAACGAGAATGGCTGAGCGCACGACATCGAAGAAGCACGACGAGTTCGTGCGCGAGCGCATGGAGGACAAGGCGGCCACAGAACTTGCCGGCATTGGCGAGAAGGGTGGCGAGCAGCTTGCTGCGCTTGGTTTCGCCACGGCCAAGCAAGTGCTGGTGAGTTTGTTGTGAGTTGTTCTGTTGACTTGGTTGACTTGGTTGACTTGGTTGGCTGGATGTTGTATTGACAAGGGTGTGTTGAGATCCTTCTGACTCTCTGACCTGCGCGGTTTCGCATGATATCACCTGCTTGTCCTTCATCCACCTTCTTGACGCCGCCCTTTCCTCCACACACATACACACTATCCGTCTATGAGCACACGCACGTACCCACTCATTATCTGTCTTTGTGTGCACAAACACACACACACACTGTCCGTCTTTGTACACAAACGCACACACCGTAAACAGGGCCAATTCCTTGTGATGGGCGAGGACCCTGATGTGTTTGGAGACTGGCTTCAGCAGAACGTGTCCAAGCTCAACTCCAAGCACCGCGGCGATCTCATCTTCTGCCTTCAGGAGTGGATCAAGCGCAACCTCTAAACATGTGCTCAACTCCCCTCCTGCCCCTGTGCTTTTTTTTTTCTGTGCTGTTTCTGTGATGTGCGATTCCTGTGTACCAAATGCTTTGATGAACATGGCATGAAAGCCTGACACCCTGTGAGTTGGTTGCATGACATGTCACTGTTGTTGTCCCATGTTGTGGATGTTCATAAGGAGCTTGCTGCTGACTGGCAGCCAACTTGTGCATTCGCTCAATAAACGTACCTCCCTCCACTGCAACTGGTGTCATGTCACTCCCGAGCAATCGGCTGAGCGTTTCCACCAATACAAACCCCCTGAAACCACACACACACACACACACACACACACACACACAACACAACACACACACACACGCACGTCTCTGCAGTTTGGGGTGTGGAGGTGTCGTTTATTGCTTTGACGGAGAGGGAGCAAAAAGGGAACCAGAGAGAATCCATGTCAGTTGCCACGCACAAAGCAGTGCATTACGTACATACAGCACGTGGCACGACGGCCTGACACCACCCCAACAACAAAGCGCCGCCACCACCACCACTCTACCACCACTCTACCACCACTTGCAGAAATCATAGATTAAAAGCTGATCAAGCAAACAACCAGCAGCGCAACACAAGCGCACACATCGTTGTGAAAGGAACACCCAGTCAATCACAACACAGAACAAAGCACAACAATGGCACAAGGAAAGAAGGCACAGGTGGGCAGGTTGTGTACACAAGTGAGGAAATGAAATGAAACGCATGCAAGCGCACAGGAGCACGCACATGCACAATTGCAAATATAAATGCACAAGAACAAAAGAGAGGAGAGGGTGCTTGCTGAATAAGCAAAGGGAGCAGGCACATGGGCCGCACCAAACCAGCAAGCACCCTTCATGACCCAACGCATCAAACCCATCCAACAATGTCCGACAAATGTCGGCTATGCTTCAACGCCATCAACACAACAGCGTGTGTCATCACAACACCAACAACTCACTCGCAGCGCCTTGGGGCCAAGCAAGCACTGGTGTGACACGCTCATGGCTTCCACTCTGCAATTCTGTCTTCTTCCCCAACAGCAGCCAGCCATGCCCGAACAACGCCCATGTGCTCGCTCCCAATCTCATCATCATCATCATCATCATCATCATCATCATCATCATCATCATCATCATCATCATCATCATCATCATCATCAACCTTCTCCGCCTTCTCTTTTTCCTTCCCTCCCTCCTTCCCTTTCTGCTCCTTCTCCTCATCCTGTTCCTCTTCCTTGTCATCATCGCCGGTATCGTCGTTATCGTCAGCGCAGGCACAGCCGATGCTGCTGTGAATCACCACGCCAGTGGGAGAGGCAGTGTCGCCAGTTGAGACCGCCGTCACAACAGCACCATCCACTCGCATCCTGCACGCAGGGGTGGTGCCATCATCACCACCAACAACTGTGCCATCATCACCACCAACAGCTGTGCCATCATCACCACCAACAGCTGTGGCGGGAGTGCCCATCATCTTTCCAGCGGCATCATCAGCGTCAGCACCACTGTCAGCAAGTGTCTCAACCCCGCTGCCACTGTTGCTGCTGCGGTTGTCGTCATTGCCTGGCGCGCCAAGCGTGAAGGTCGCCACCCCGTCGCCGCTGCGCAGCCGCAGCAGGTGCTGCCGCGTCGCCGCAATCATGGCCTCTTGCTCCTCCACGCTCAACACAAAGTTGTACACCTTGAACATGTACATGGGCAGGTCGTTCTCGGCCTGCAGGTACTGGCAGTGCTTCCGGATGAAGGGCGTGTACACGTCCTTACGGAGCCTCCTGGCGGCGGTGCGGACACGGGCGACAATGGTGTTGCGGCACTTGACGCAGAACACCTTAGAAGGGGACGAGGTGAAGAAGGCGTTGCCCACGTCGCCACCGCACACAAAGCACGCCGCGTTGCTCGGCTCGCATGCCACAGCGACCAGCGTCTTGTCTGCGCAGACGGCCCTGTGCTCCTCCAGGTCCTGCGTCACCACGCGCAGCATGGCCGCGCACAGGGCAGCGTCACGCGGCAGGCGCTTCTGCTCCCGCAACAAGACACAGCGCGCAAGGTGGCGGCGCGGAACGATGTGGTACGTCGCACCAAACATCGACACATACTGCAGCGCGCAGGCCGGCGCAAGGTTCCACGACACATGCACGCATGCACTCAGCGCCTGACGCCAACAACCAAGATTTTGAAGAGGTGGGGGGGGGGGGGTAAAGAAAGAGGGGTGGAGCATGAAGACAAACAAACAACATGCGTGTGCCAAAATATGGGTGAGTGGTTGAATCGCTGCGAGCAAGTATCAAACACAGTGCACTCGCAGAGAGTCACACACACATGCACACACACAAACATGCACATGCACACACACAAACATGCACATACACATACACACGCACAAACAGTGTGTGTGTGACACACAGATACACACACTATCTATCCATCTATCATCTCAATGCGTGCATGCATGCACACACAATCAAGGCAGGAGAGAAACTCACCCGAACCCAGTGAAGGGTGCCTGGGTTGACGAGAACAGCCTCGCCCGGCCCTTGGATGAACCGCACCAGCGGAATGTTCTCCTTGTCGAGCTCGCCAGGTGTTGGCCACCACCCGCCGTCCTTGAAGTCGATGCCCTTCGTCTTGCAGAGCAACTTGACGCGGCCCACGTGCTGCGGAGCAACGCCGTACCACACGCACGACCCCGGCCCGACGTTGATGTTGATGGACAGCAGGTTGTCGTTCTCCTGGTGTGCAGGCGTCGTGCACCCGGTCATCTTGAGGTACATCTGCGGGCTGTTGATGCCCTCGATGGGGTCGAGCTCTGCCAGCATGGTGCTGCCGCCGCGCCAGTGCAGCTCGTCGGGGAGGGCGTCGCTCAGCTTCTGCAACTGCTCAGTGAACACGGCCTGGCACAGGTCGATGTTGCCGGCAAACTCAATCTTGGCCCCAGTCTTCAGCACCCTCAGTGCTCGGACCGCTGCCGCATCTGCCTCCATGTACGCGGCGCGCACAACGTCCTCGCGTGCTTGTGTGGGGCGGGGCGGCGTGTCGTGTGCTTGGCAATCGGAGCTGGAGCTGGGGCTGGACCAGGTGCTGGACCCGCGGCTGTTGCTGAGGGCGAGCGGCGTTGGTGACATGGACTTGGCCCTCTTGGGCTGGTGCTCACCCTGTGCCATTGTTGGGCTTGGGTCGTTGCGAGCAGCCATCTGCAGGTAGGCAGGCAAGAGCATTGTCTTGCTGCTGCCGTTGTTCCTCTCTGCCTTGAGCCTCCAGCCGCTGTAGCCGGTCTGCACTTGGATGCTTAGCGGTGTCGAGAGGCGGGCCAGGCGGCCCTTTGAGAATGCCGGCAGCGGGTACTTGGTGGTGAAGCCCGGGTAGCGGAGAAGCGGTGGGCTATCGACCGTTGGCGTGGGCAAAACACCGGGCCCAACGCGGTTGGTCGTCAGGCACGCGTCCTTCCACACCACTGACGATGCAGTCCGAGGCATGGTGCAGGATAGCGCGCAGGGGATGAAGAGAAGGGAGAGAGAAGACTGGTGGTGGAGGAGGAGAGCGGATGGGTGGCGGAGACGGAAGCTTAGGGGGGGATGGGAGGGGGGATGGAAGGAGACGGAAGCTTAGGGGGCTGGGGGGATGGGTGGAGGAGAAGAAGGGTGGAGGAGAAGCAGGGTGAGTGATGGACACCACCAGACACGGAGAAGAAGAGGCGTGCGTGGGACGTACACAGGCACCACAGGTGCACAGAGAGAGAGGATAGCACGGGTGCACTCAAGCAACCGACCCGATATCAGTGGCCCAGATGAAAATGAACAGGAAGGATGGCGCTGAGCCATGCATACATGCACGTATGAAAAAAAGGAGGAAGGGAGGAAGAGAAGAAGAATTGAACAATGAAGTGCACAACAAGCAAGGCAAATGCTCTGTGTGTGTGTGTGTGTGTTTGTGCGCAGCTCAAAGTTTGCGCGGGAAGTGAAATTCGTTGCCAATGCAAGAAAAGTGGGAAAGGTGCCGAGGACGCACGCAACGCACACAGCGCACAGCGCCGCCGATGCACAGCAGGCGTGGTGGATATGCCCCCGTGGCCACAGGCGGAAAACTGCCAACACTGGCGCGAAAGGCAGCGACCCCCCAAGCAAGGGGCGCAGCGCACAGGCCGCAGCGCGACAAAGGTGTCCGTGTTCGTGTGTGCGTGCGTGTGACAGCACGCAAGAGCGTGCTGGGAAGGTGAGAGGAAGACAGTACGAGGGTGAGTGCTTGAAAGGACCGTGAAGATGAAGGGAGAAGGAGGAAGAAGAGGAGGCTGTTGAGAACAGACGAGGCAGGGGGAAGAGTCGTGGTAGCTGCCACAGAGAGGCGCTAAGGAAGAAACTGGTTGCTGTCTCCTTCAATGCGCAGGAGCGCGCGCTCATGCACATGCGCACACGCAAGAGAGTGTGCTTGGAATAGACCGCACAAGACAAGAGGAGAGAGAGAGATGGAGAGAGAAGCGCTGGCGCCCGCAGCAACAATGGCAACGCTGGCAACAGCAGCAGTAGCAGCGCGCCAACAGTGGTGCAACAACTGCAACAACAACAACAACAACAACAACAACAACAACAGGCGCCAGGTGCGGGAGAGACAAAGACAGAGAGACACGGAGAGGGGAAGCGAAGAGCTGGTTGCCCGCGTGCCAACATCAAAGAAACAACACACTGGCCAAGAAATGGATAGTGCAGTCGGTGGCACAGTCAACCCAACCAAAAGCAAGCCACGCAGGCAGGCACAGAGAGCTTGCTTTGCCGCGCGATAGAGGAAGAGAAGAAGAGAAAGTTGGTGGACGCGGGTTTGGCGCCAACGCTCCCTCAGCCAAGCACCATCAGTCCTTCATCACGAAATGTGTGTGTGAGTCAGTGCGTGTGTATGTGAGAGAGAGGGGGGGGTGTGTGTGAGTCAGTGCGTGTGTATGTGAGAGAGAGAGGGGGGTGGGCGTGCAAAGAGCACATCCACTGAAGAGAGGGAAGGAAGAGTAGGAGAGGAAGAGAGGAAGGGTAAAAAGAAAAGTATGAGCAACCGTGTGCCACCGCCGCAAAGGGAGCCGCAAAGGGAACCACGTGCGTGGATGAAACAAATGCAGCTGGCCGTGCAGCGTGCGATGACATCAACAAACACGTTTGTCATTCCCCAACCACCCAAACACACACACACACGCACACACATCAACAAACACACGCACCAACAAACAGAACCGAAAAGACGCAACCACCAGCACAACAAAACAGCAGAGGAAGAGGAGGAAGAGGATGGAAGAAGAAAGAAGAAGAAAGGTGTGGGTGAAATACACACACACACACACACCAGCAATAACAGCACGACAGCGACCAATGTGTCTCACCTGCTGCTGTTGTTGTTGTTGTTGCGAGGAAACGATGACGAATGTCGGAAGCAGCGTGGTTGGGTGGGGCATGGGTCCACTCACACCCATTTCTTGATGGCTGATGCGAAGAAGCGCTCCGCCATGTTCATGTGTGTCCACTGCTCAAGTTGCTTGGGTTGCGGCTTGCCTGGCTGTGTTGTGTGGGAGCCGGTGCGGATTCGCTGTGGCACGGATGAAAGAGGTCGGTGCCGCACCTCATGAGGAAAGCAGCAGCAGCAGCAACAGCAACAGCAGCAGCATGAACGCTTCTTCGTTGTAATGCACAGCATCACCCTGTGTCCGTGGCTTTTGCTGCAGTTGCTCGTATCGCTGCTGCTGTCATCATCGCGTGCTTCTCATGCTGTTCCACCATCATCATTCCAATGACGCCGAGGTGAGTGTTGGGGGGTCGGTCGCATCACCACCGCATGTCATGCGGTGCACGCTTCGCTTATTTGTTTGGGTGCATCATCATTTCAAACAAAAACAAAAGCAAGAGGAGTGGCGCGCCAAACCAAGCAAAGGCCAAACTGCCTATGAGAGTCGTATCAATGACAATTTTGCCTTTGACCGAGCCGAGATCGACAACGACAAGTGAAGATGAGTGGCAGTGCGGCGGCTGATGTGGTTGTGGAGGTGCTGCGGGCTGGCCCAGCGCGAAAGGACAAGTCCTGCAAAGGCGTCATCGTGTTCCTGCACGGGTGGCCAGACACGAACGCTCTCTGGAAGAACCAGGTCTGTCACCGTGTATGTACGAGGTTGTGCGTATGTACATTTGTATTCTGTTTGTTTTCATGTGTATTTGTGTGTCCCTACATGATGTCTCTGAGTGATGTGCCTGTGTGTCTGTCGGTCGGGCTGTCTGCCTACGTGTCTATTCGACCATCCTTGTCTGTGCGTGGGTGTTGTTGTTTTGCTGCAAGCTTATCCTTTGCACTGCCATGTCCAATGTCCAGACGTTTGGCTGATCACCTCCGCCCCCCCCCCGCCCTTTTGATACACACTTTGTCTCCCTGACACTCCCCGTCCCTGTCCCTCCTTCAACCTCTCGCTTGCAGGTCGACTTCTTCACGAAGCACAAGTACCATTGTGCGTGCCTTTCCCTGCCCAGTTACAGTGGGTACGACTCGTCTCACAAATGGGCCTTGGACTTTCCGGACGTGCGAGATGTGCTTATTCGGCAGATCAAGGAGGTGAACGACGGGAAGCCTGTGCATGTGGTTGCGCACGACTGGGGTGCTGTATTTGCGTACATGATTGAGCGCAAAGCACCCGAGCTGGTCAAGACGCTGTCCACGATCGATGTTGGTGGCCGCATCCACATCGCATCCGTCGCGGGGAAGGTGCTGGTTCCGGCGTACCAGCTTTGGCTGTCATCTGCCTTTGTTCTCGGGAACGTGGTGCCTGTAGTTGGCAAGCCGATCGGGGACCTGATGACACGACTGTGCGCCAAGTACTTTGCGCACTCGCCGTCCTTCTCTGCGGACCATGGCTCCCACGTCAACTATGTATGTCCCACACGCACATGTGCCATTGCAGCTTGCATGATGTCTCGCAAACCCGCCGCGGTGCTCACCTGTCGCAACACCGCCTTGCGCATTTGCTTGTGTTTATCATCCGTCGACCAGCCATACTTCTACTTTTACAAAGGCCTCTTCCTTGGTGGGAGTGGAGGTACAAACTACCTCAAGCACTACTCACCTCAGCGTCCAACCTTCTACTCCTACGGCGCCGCCAAGGTGCGTACATGGTTGTGTGTGTGTGTGTGTGTCGGTGTGTCTGTGTGTCTGTGTGTCTGTGTCTGTCTGTGTCTGTGTCTGTGTGTGTCTGTGTCTGTGTCTGTGTGTCTCCACGCATGTTTTGTGTTCTGAATGGGATTGCGCCTCACTGTGATCATCTGACAATGTACATGCACGTGCCATGATGACGCAGCCCTTCATGTTCCACTCGGACGGATGGCTCAAGGAGATGGATCGCCGCGAGGACTGCCAAGTGTGTGTTTGTGCATGTGCATGTGCTGCTTGCTACCTTGTCGTAAAAGAGCGAAGAGCTGTTCCATTGTTCTCCCTCATAGAGTCTGGTGGTTCACGGGATCCCGAACCCCACCTGTCTTTTTTCCAGGTGCAAGCTTTCCCCTGCGGGCATTGGGTGCAAGTTGATCAAGGAGAAGCGCTGAACCACGCCATTCTCAAGTTCATCACCACCCACAGCGCCTAACCTCTGTGTGTGTGTGTGTGTGTGTGTGTGTGTGTGTGTGTGTGTGTGTGTGTGTGTGTGTGCTTTTCAACCTTGCTGTCAATGTGTGTCATTCCCTCTGCTGTTCTCTGTGTCTGTCTCTGTGAATGGCTCGTTATCCGTTGCCTCTCTACGTGTTTACCCGCTGTCGTCGACGTGTCATGAGTGTCTTCATGTCGGGGGCGGGGGGAGGCTGGATCAAGCGTTGCGTTTACATCAGCCATCACACTAAACAAGCAACACGGCAGAAGCGAAAAAGAAGTCACAACTCTGGCGAGAACATGAGGTGTAGGACGTGCTGGCAGCTGAACCACCTCACAACACAACACAACACAACACAACACAGCACAGCACAACACAGCCAACGCACAAGGACGGAAGAGGTCCTGCGAGGGTGAGGCAACACCTCGCCACACGGGAGCGTAAACTTGCAATGTGAGCGTGCAGGCACGCAACTCAACACAACGCCCACCGCGGCTGCATGTACTGCGCGAACATGTGCGTGTGTGCATCATGCGGTGGAGGCGAATGGGTCCGTGGGCACAGGCGGGGCGGCCGAGCGCTTGGACGGAGGGACAAGCAGACGCGGCAGAGCATCCGGCACAGACTCGCCCGCCATGGCCTTGTGGCACAGGTGCATGGCAACGCAGAACTGACGACAAGTTGCACAACAGTGATGAGATGCATGGATGCAAGCAACAAGGGACATACATGATCCGCCTCGTGAGTCAAGTTGCATCCTGGCTCACATGCACATGGCAACGAAACAAACAGCGGCAAAGAGAGAGACAGACAGACAGACAGACAGACAGACAGACAGACAGACAGACAGACAGACAGACAGACAGACAGACAGACAGACAGACAGACAGAGACACGAACAGACACAGAAACACACACACACACCACGGCAGCATGCTTTCGCACCTCATCAAGGTCGAGGTAGCCGTCACCGTCAATGTCGCTGAGGTTCCAGATCTTTCCCAGCGTTCCAAAGTCGAGCTTTGATTTCATCAGCACGCTCTTTGCCGCCTCGCCCGTGATCTTGCCGTTGACCGGATTGCACGAGTTGAAGTGCGACCGGAAGTTGCTCTGTGTGCGTGTGTGTGTGTGTGTGTGTGTGTGTGTGTGTGTGTGTGTGTGTGTGTGTGTGTGTGTGTGTGTGTGTGTGTGTGTGTGTGTGTGTGTGTGTGTGTGTATAAGTGCATCCTTATGTGTGTCAAAACGAGTATCAGCATGTGGTGCCTGGCAGGTGAAGAGCCCCACGAGCTGCACCTGCTCCTTCACGGTGATGGTCCAGTCCACGGCGTCGTTGTTTGTTGTCTCGAGCGACGAAAATGGATTTCCGGAGCTTGCTCCCTGCTCGCCACCCTGCATGGCACGTGCGTACGCCTCATCCTCGCTGATGGGTAGGCATACGTGCACGTTGCACAAGGGTGTGTGTGTGTGTGTGTGTGTGTGTGTGTGTGTGTGTGTGTGTGTGTGTGTGTGTGTGTGTGCGCGCGCGCCATGAGTGGATCAATCGAACAGCACGGGACAGCAGACCAGCAGCGGGATGACGGCCATACAGCGCCGATGCTGCTCACCGCTCGGCGGGGAACTGGTTCATGAGCTTCGGAATGTCACGGGAGAGAACGGCGTCCATCTCCTCCAGAGCCCTGGGGAGCAAAATGCATCAGCACATCAGCACATCAGCACATCAACACATGTGCATGTGTGCATGTGTATATGTGTATGTGTGTGTGTATGTGTGCATGTGTGTATGTGTGTGTATGTGTGCATATGTGTGACAGGCAGACACAGACACAAAAAAACCACAAGGCGGGCAACTCCCGCGCTGCCTCCCGCCCCGCCTCCCGCCCCCCGCAAGAAAACAACACAGGTCGGGCTACGCGTTCAGCACCTGCGGCTTGGCGTCAAAGTCTGCATCTGTCAACGAGGATGAGTGCACAGTTTGAAACTGCGCACCATAGGCAGTAGGGAGTTGGGTGTGCACGATGTTGTTTTCACTGTGAGCAAATGCGACAAGGCAATCTCCTCAGAGCCACACAGGAATCAAAGAAATGCAAGTAGACGGGCACCAAGCGCCACCGGTCGCGCGCATTGGATCACAAAACAAACACCGCATCGCCGCCGTCAATGGTCACAGCATGTGACGACACACTCCAACAAGAAACATGGTGTGAGAGTAGCAAGCGTTGTCGTCGTCGTCGTCGCCGTCGTTGTTGTTGTTGTTGTTGTTGTTGTTGTTGTTGTTGTTGTTGTTGTTGTTGTTGTTGTTGTTGTTGTTGTTGTTGTTGTTGTTGTTGTTGTTGTTGTTGTTGTTGTTGTTGTTGTTGTTTAAGTTGTACCTTGTATGTGTCCTCAATAGGCTTGATCTTGGACTTGTACAGCTTCTTCAAGCCATCCACGGCCGAGAAGTAGACTTGCTGCTTCTCTTCCTCCTTCTTTGACGATCCAAACTGCACACGCAAACAAGCCCGGTCATACATTCGTGTGTGTTGCGGGTGTGGTGCGATTTATGGAGAGTGTGGAGCGCAATGACGGATGACATGAGCTAAGGCAAGGATGCATGCTCGACACCACCACGAGCCCAAGCAACGGCCGATCATGACTTCCTCCTCTCTTGTTCGCATCACACATCACCATCACCTCAACTCATCCTCCACCCCAAAACCCTGAAGCCCACTCATCGCGCACTCACCAAGCCCATCTTGGTTGGTGTTGTTGACGATTGGCAGGCACACCGATAAATTTCCGCAGAGCAAGCGTTGACTCATCCAGCCACCGACCACGACAACCACCACACAGAACAAGCCTGCTGGCAAGCAAGTCAAGATGGGGTTGGCTGACTACATCAAGAAGCGGGAGATTGGCAAAGGGTCCTTTGGCGTTGTCTTTCTTACCGAATGCAAGCACGATCGCAAACGAGTAAGCTCGTGTGTGTGTCTGTGTATCTGTGTATGTGTGTCTGTGTGTGTGTGTGTGTCTGTGTGTGCGTGTGTGTCTGTCTTTCTGTCTGCCTGTCTGTCTGCCTGTCTGTCCCTCTGCCTGTCTGTCTGTCTGTCTGTCTGTCTGTCTGTCTGTCTGTCTGTGTGTCTGTGTATGTGTGTGTGTGCGTGTGTCTGTCTGTCTGTCTGTCTGTGTTTGTTTGTACGTGTGCCCGTGTGTCTCTGCGCAGTAAGTATCTGTGTGCCGTGTCCGCTTGTTGCCATTTCTCATGTCTCCGAACCGCGCACCCTCTTCGAACCACACGCATGCACATGCACGCCACATGCAGTATGTTGTCAAGAGGATTGCCCTTGAGCGAGCGACAACCAAGGAGCAAAGGAACGCATTCCAGGAGGCAAAGCTGCTCTCCACACTCAATCACCCAAACATTGTATCGCACCGCGAATCCTTCATCAGCAAAGACAATGCGTTCTTGTACATTGTAATGCAGTACTGCGAGGGCGGAGATCTTTACACGCGGTGCGGTTCACTGTCTCATGAATGTGTGTGTGTGTGTGTGTGCGTGTGTGCGTGCGTGCATGCGTGTGTGTGCGTGCGTGCATGCGTGTGTGTGCGTGTGTGTGCGTGCGTGCGTGCGCCGCGCGTGTGTATGTGTGTGTGTGCGTGCGTGTCTTTCTGTGTCTGTCTGCTCTTTTGCTGTCTGTCTGCCTGTCTGTCTGTGCCCCTTTGCTGTCTGCCTGTCTGTCTGTGTGTGCACATGTGCGTGCGTGTGCTGACCCTGTTTTGCAGCCATGAGTGCAGACATGCATACATGTTGGCTTGTGACGCGATGCCTGATCATGTTCCGCCTTATGTGTCCTTCCGTATTTTGCACCGCAACTCACATGCCTTGCTTCTTCCTTGATCACCGCTTCCATCCTGTCCGTTCTCAACACACAGGCTCAGGCAACAAGCCGCTACCGGTCACCTGCTGCCCGAAACCCAAATCATGGACTGGTTTGTGCAAATTGGACTGGCCTTGCAATACCTCCACGACAAGAATATCATGCACAGAGACCTCAAAACGCAGAACATCTTCCTCACAAAGAAACAAGTTGTCAAGGTACCCAGTCCGTTGGTGTGTTTGCAGTGTGTGTGTGTGTGTGTGTTTGAGCATGTGTGCGTGCGTGTGTTTGCAAGTATATGTTTGCAAGTATATGTTTGCAAGTGCGTGTGTGCGCATTTTAACATGTGTGCGTTCGTGTGTGCATCCGTACATGTGCACCCTGTATCGATGCACAAGGTTCTGTTTGTTTGCGTTTGTGTCGCCGTTCACATGATGATGCTGCGATTGCTGCTGTGCGTCTCCTTTCAGGTCGGTGACCTGGGCATCGCCCGTGTCCTGGATTCAGAAGATGACATGGCCACAACAGTGAGTGCCAATACGTGACCTCGTGGTGACATGCCTGCTGCTGCTGTGGCCGTGGCTGTGGCTGTCAGTGTGTCTGTATGTGCCTGTGTTGTGTGTGCTCTGCCCCTGCCTTCACTTTGACACGCTCTTCCACCATGCTCATCCCTCTCCCTAACCTTGTTGTTCTTGTTCTTGCCTGGGGGCTGCGCCTGTTTTTCAGGTGACAGGCACTCCATATTACATGTCACCCGAGCTCTACGCACGCGTGGTACGTGTTTGTCACACGCATGCGGTGCAAGGGGCTGTTCTCATCCTTTTGTGTTCTTTCTTGTGCTTCTTCCCCCCTCCCACCTCTCTGTGCTGACCGTGCGTGGGCTCTGTTGCTGCCATGATTTTGCAGCCGTACAACATCAAGTCGGACGTGTGGTCGTTTGGGTGCGTCATGTACGAAGTCGCAACCTTGAAGAAGGCCTTCAATGCAAAGGACTACAACGCATTAGCCTTCAAAGTTTCAAAGGGGCAGGTACGCATACACGCCCATCAATTCAACACGGTGTTCGGCACAGTGCTGGCACCTACCGATGACTCCCTCGCGCGCAACTCACATGTGTCCTTGCATGTGTGTGTCATCATCTGTCTTTGACAGATCCAGCGGCTGCCCTCCGCGTACCCCGATGACATGGACACCCTGTTCGCTTCCATGCTCGCTGTGGAGCCAGGTACGTCTGAACTGCCACTGAGGGTGAGAAGGGGGACATCTGCCCTCGCGCGTGTGTGAGTGTGGGTGTGGGTGCACATATGTACACGCTGACTTGTATGGTGAACTCGAGGCACATGTGATGAAGTACACTCTAACGGTTGATAACACCTTGCCATCACTGCATTGCTTTGCATATCTGATTACATCTCTGACACACACACACACACACACACACACACACACACACACACACAGATGACAGGCCAACAGTCAAGGAGATCTTGGGTTCACCCTATGCACGCAAACACATGCACCGCTTTGTCCAGCAATTTGCACAACGGTGAGCACTGCAAGTGTTGTTGTTTTGTCTGCTTACATACACACACATCCACACACACATCCACACACACACGCAAACAGACCTCCACGTACATGCACAGATTGGCTGCTACACTCACACAAGGTCATATGCACGTGCCATTGACAGGAAAGCGATGGCCGCACCGCGATCAACGTCCTTGCCGGCAACACCCACGGATGCAGTGTCTGCCAGCACGAAAGCCAAAGCAATACCACAGAGCGTGCACAGACGAGTGAGCACCCCCAGGGAAGAAGGGGGCTCACCTGCGAGCTCGCGATCCTCGTCACAACTGGCAACGCCCACCCAAGACGTGTTGCGACAGTACGTTCACGGTTTCAACTTTGGATGCGCTATGCGAACCGTTGGTAAGAGCCACTGCATTGGAAATTTGTTCCCTCACACAATATGCGTGTCCGTGCTACTGCAGGCAGCGACGGCTGGCGCGACAGAGAAAATCCATGGCGTCACAGGGAGAAGCTAGCAGCCATTCATCAAGCACCATTGGCAGTGCTACGCCCAGAAATGAGCCCCAGCAACCATGGCGACAAGGCGAGGTCGAAGCAAGGCATCCTGCCAACACAGAAATAGAAGAAGAAGCTGGTGACGACGACGACAGCGAATGGGAGGTGTGTGTGTGTGTGTGTGTGTGTGTGTGTGTGTGTGTGTGTGCGTGTGTGTGTGTGTGTGTGCGTGCGTGTGTGTGTGTGCGTGCGTGTGTGTGTGTGTTTGATGCAAGATGCAAGTAACGTGTTGGTGTCACTGTGTGCGTGTGCGCGCATGCGAAGCTTACTCTCACCACACGCAATGATAAAACTACCAGGTCTCCACGGACGATGCGGGATCAAGCGAAGACGAACAGGAGGATGACGGTCACACGGACAGCACAGAGCCGATACGGCGTCACCGCAGGAATGAGGGGCGTGCAGCGGAAGCTGCGCAGGATGAGCTGGATGAAACCACTTGTGCAGAGCTGTTGGAATTGCAACTGTCATTTGATGTCGCTTCAGCCCTCTCTCCTTCTCCAGATGTATCGTTTTCGTAGAGTACAATTTGTTTGTTGTTCAGCCACACAACAAAACCAATACAACGAAAGCTGTTGCAAACGAACCGTGAATTTTGGCAAGCGTGGGTCGTGTTGTGTACGTGTGTGCAAAAGAGGCCCGTGGTTAATGTTGAAACACGACAGGTGTGTGTGTGTGTACTGTAGACAAACGCAACAAACAAGAACACAAGGAGAATGAACAAATACAGCAAGCTGCTGCCAAATAAGCTCGGGCAGCATGCTCAAACAACCACAAGACAAGTGCACACACAGTCAACAGAGCTGCCAAGGCGACATGGGCAGAGTGTGCACGAACACAAACAATCTAAACAACGAACAGCATGCATACATGCGCGCAGAGCAATGCTAAGCAGCATGAATGCTTGCAGGCAAGCATACACAACAGACAACACTTCACAACACTGCATGGCACGCACACATGTCATTTGCCAAGCATGACGGGCATGCACACACACATGGCACACATGACACACAACTCACGTGTGTAGGGGAAGGAGGAGAGGAGAGGCAGTTGGCACACATGCATGCCAGCAGAGAGGAAGGAATGTTTGCAAACGGAAAAACCACAAAGCAGGTGTTGTTGGCAAACAAGACAAAACCACATGAGAAGGCAAAGTAGGAAGGACTCAACACAAAACAGAAACTCACTGACTCTCAACAACCGCAACGACAACGACGTGCAGCAGTACTGCAAGCTGATGGGCATTGATGATCGCAACGCCATCAGCAGCAAGCAGTGTACAACGTGCGCAGTCACCAAGAGCACTCGTCACAGCGTCAGCAAGCACGCGGAACGCACACAGGTGCCCGGCGAGCGCATCCACGCCGACATCGTCGACTGGACCGCGGACTCACCCACGGGCAAGCGCTACAGTCTCGTCATCGTCGATGAGGGAAGCAAGCTCCTGCATGCAGTCCACCTCAACGCCAAGAAGGACGCAGTTGCCGCGTTCCAGTCTTTCCTGCGCGACACCAAGCTCCCCATCTCGCCCACAACAACAGCACTCCAGACGGATTCCGATGCCATCTTCCTCGGAGCTGACTTCCAGGCCATCGTCAAGAAGCACCTGAAGCAGCACCAGCAGTCCCCGCCGTACACCCAGGCGCAGAATGGCATCGTCGAGCGACAGGTGCGCACCCTCTCCGACATGGTGCGAGCCATGATCACGGGTGCAGGCCTCGACGCATCGTACTGGAGCCTCGCCTGCAACCACGCCCTGCACATCCTCAACAACATGCCTCGCCCTTCCCTCCACGGCAAGACACCGCTGCAAATTGTCACGGGCTCGCTGCCCAAGCACGTGCCGCAGCTGCACGTCTTCGGGCAGCCGGCCGTCGTCCATATCAGCACACAGCGCGGTCGCCTGCAGCCCAAGGGTCGTCGAGGCATCTACGTCGGCCACAACAGCAGCAGCAACAGCCACCTCGTCCACTTCGCAGACACAAACACCGTTGTGTCCTCCATCCACGTCCGCTTCCTTCCCTTCTCCAAGGCCGATGATGTCGTGGATGAGGGGGAGGAGCAAGTGCAGACATCCACGACATCGTCCATGCTCCAGCTTCCCAGTGCACGTGACAGCAGCAACAGCACCACTGACGGTGAGCAACCAACAGTTCACATCGACGAGGACCAGGACGATGATGTCGAGACAGACTTCCTGCTCACGGACTTTGACGACGACAGCAGCAGCGACACCAACGACGCCAACTACGATCCAGACACAACAGATGCAAGCGACACCGAGGCAGGCGCGTTCACAGCAAGCAGCAGTGACGACACCAGCCTCACGGAGCCTGCAAGCATCAAGCAGGCACTCAAGAGCCAGCAACGCAAGCAGTGGACTCAGGCATGCTTGGAGGAGATCGGGGCCATGGAGCGCAACGGCGTCATCAAGCTCATCCCACGCAGCGTCGTGCCACGGCAGCACACGCCTCTCAAGTCACGCTTCGTCTTCAAGGTGAAGCGTGATGCTGAGGGCGCGCCGACGCGCTTCAAGGCACGCTGGGTCGCCAAGGGCTTCAGCCAACGACCGGGCATCGACTTCGACCAGACCTACGCCCCAACACCAGCAGCCAAGACCATCCTCACTGTGCTCGCCGTCTCCCTGCAACGACAGCACCAGCTGCACCAGCTCGACTTCAAGTCGGCTTACCTGCAGGCTGATCTCAAGGAGGAGCTGTACATGGAGCTGCCGCCGCACTTCACCGACATCGGCGACGGCGCTCAACGCTACGCGGGCAAGGTGTGCCGGCTGCTCAAGCCGCTCTACGGCCTCAAGCAAGCTGGCCGTGCATGGGCCAAGAAGCTGCACACCTTCCTCAAGACCAACGGATGGGCGCAAAGCAATGTCAGACGCTTGCCTCTTCACCAAGCTCCACGACGACGGACAGCGCACATGGAT